TTTTTTTCTTATTTGTGTTTTCTTCTGATAATTCCGACTATTCATTGCTTCAAATATATAAATACTCCTGCTATTTTTTTTTAATTTTATTTATCCGTTTTTACATTCATCGACGATATTTCGTATCCTTGAAGACAGTAACAAGTGTTTAAGCATTTAAATATTTGTCAATTAATGTAATTTATTTCACTTTAAAGTATCAAGTTTATGACATAATGCAAATATTTCGTAATATCTGTATTTAGAAGACATTAGTCATCAGTTTGAGCATATAAGTGCTCTATCGGCCAATTCATATTTCGAGAAATTTCAACAATTCTGGGAACGCACAGAAGAACGCTAGGAGAAGTTACTACCGCAGCGGAGTTACAATGTAGTAATGGAAAGTGATTATAAGAAGCCAATATTTGAAGGTTGCAAAATCTGTTTTCGTCCTTTTCAGTTGTGCGTACTTTGCATTCATCATTCACAAAATCTCCAGTTTTTAATAAAGTGAAAAATACATAAGAAATTATAATATTTTTATTTTAAAAAATGCCATGAAGATGGTACCCAAAAGAGGCGAGATATAGAGTAGCATACTTTGTCCTTGTCAGTGGAGATCATGGCTCCGGTCGGGTGAAAACTACCCTTCTGCAAATTAAGATAATTTTTTAAGCCGTCACATTTTTGTGCACAGTCGACGTGTAAGATCCGTAAAAAGTAAGGAAGTCTTCACTGGGCATAGTAATATATGCATCAAAAGAGTAAGAATGAGTTGGTGCATAAACATCACACCTTCAAAACAGTTCCGTGTACACGTTTTAAAAAGATACGCGTTTACATCCTGCGTAACAACTTGTCCTCTCCCTTCTCCATTGCATTGTGAAATATCTCATATGAAATATGCCATGAGGCTAGTGGTATTGAAATTTCAAAAGGATGTTTATGAATTGATCAGTTCAAATTTGAGTAAAAAATTGTTTAATTAAAAATCTAATAAACTTTTTTCATAAATGAGGTTTTATTAAATATTTTGTAAAAGTTGTCTATTTCCAACATAAAGAATTTTAAGCATTATCTCGCTGGTCACTTTAAAATATCACCAATAATTTCTGAGCGTTTTGAATATCATAGAAATATACTTTAAATTAGGGGCTAGAAGCGCATTCAGAAAGTAAGTTTACCTATGTCAACAGAAAGAAACACAAATATGGAAAAACTAGGGGTAGATATTAATTATCAGCTAACATTTCAGCCTTGAATTAATTGGCTGATTAACATTTTTTAATTCCTCAAGATGTTATTTCTGTAAAAAAAAGTATATAATCATTAAGTAATCTATTGATACGAGGAACTCATTACCATGTTTTTATTCAACTTGCTCCATCCATAGATTTATTCAGTTCGAAAATTTGTAGCATTGTAATAAAATGCTCAGTCCATGTTGTGAGTCGACCACACGGCTCCGGCTCACAACATACGTCTGCAGCAATTCCGCTGGAAAGCATTGACCATCCACCTTACAGTCCGGACCTCGTCCCCAGCGATTTTCATCTTTTCTTACGCCTCAAGAAATTCATGTCCGGTCAACATTATGCACATCACAGAAACGCAGTTGCAGGTGGCTGTCAAACACTAATCTAACCCTTCTACGACACAGGAATACAAATTTTGATATCATGGCACAACAAATGCCTCATATCTTGAAGTGATTATGTGGGGAAATAGTGTAACATGTGCTTTATCTGCTACAATTATTTTTTTGTGTGAAATTGTGTTTTCTGTCTGTTGACGATCTAGGGAAACTACCTTTCGAGATGCACCTCGTGTAATAATGCCATAATTTCTGTACCAAACAATTATGCGAATTAATGTGCCACACCTGATTTCATTCCATCCGTCTTTTACATATAAAATATATATTTTGCGACAAAATAAACCTTCCTTTTTGACATTCATTTTGTGGAATACCCACCCTCAAACGTTTGATTACATTTATTCTTCATAGACCCGCTGTCTGCCTTCCAAAGGGAATCACTCTACTAGCTGATTAATATACTAGTTTGAGACCTAGATATGTTAGCTGAACATCTCGTTGTGAAATGTTCATTACTAGGCCCCACAAACATTGTTATTGAAGCTAGAAGTCAGAACGTAAATTAACTCATCACTCTCGTGATGAGTTTCGCAAAAGCTGCCACAGCCCGCGAGCTGTGATTGACAACGGTGACGGTGCACCTCGGGAAATTTTGAAGGCTTCTTCGTCGGCGCTGTGATGAAATGGGAGAGGCGTCGCGTGGAAGTGATCGATCCTTGCAAATGCAGTCTAAATAATTACTGTAATATTGTGCAGTAACTTTGGCAAATCCCGGAACTCGGAGCCTCCTCTGGGAACCCTCGGCCTCAAGGCGAACTCCGACAAGTTGCGTAACTACCGCCGGCGCACAAAGAAGGACCAGTTGCCGAAATTACGCGTAATTGACAGGCTTACTTGCTACCGTAATAAGTCTACGACTAGTAGTAACACGTAATTATCCTTGAATGGCTCTTTCGCGTTGACGATCGGGAGGTAAGAGGCAATTTGAGGAGTACTAAATTTCGTAGAAATATATTATGGATCGAATGGTTTAAGTTCTATCGGATTGTATCCTTGGCGCAAAGTAGTATTTGCGGAAAACGACTGTCATCTAGGAACTGTCTCAACATATGAAATAATCGATGTTTCATTTTAAAAACAATATAAAAGGGACTGCATTTTTGCAGTATAAATTTACTCATTAACTTTCAAACAAGAATTTTGTGTGTGTGCGTGTGTGTGTATGTGTGTGTGTGTGTGTGTGAGAGAGAGAGAGAGAGAGAGAGAGAGAGACAGACAGACAGACAGACAGACAGACAGACAGAGAGAGAGAATAATTACTACTCAAACACACAATGTCTAGAATATACATTTCCTTGCAGAAACATAGACGACGAATTTAAGAGTAGATGTTAATTATCTTTCAACATTTCAGCCTTGAATTAATTGACTGTGATTTACATTTTTTAATTCCTCAAGATGTCATATCTGTAAAAGGTTTAGTATAATCGTTAAGTGGTTTATTGATGCGAGGATCTCATTCCCATGTTAATATCCATTTGCTCCATCCATAGATTTCTTCAGTTTGGAAATTTATAGCATTGTAAATTACACCAACGATCGCTAATGAGGGAAAGCATTTACGTTCACACGATCATTCTATACTACATCTATAAAGAAGTAATGGGAAATAAACAAACTTAGGTATGCATGACCATAAAAATCTCGGTTGAAGTAGGATGGAATATCAGATCCTTTCCACTCAGCTTACATCGAAAGCTACCATTGGCCGTTCAGTTATTGATTATTGGAATATTAAACCAAATCGTAATACAAAACAACAGGGCAAAGGGTATTTCCACCAATCACGCCGTACGTCAATATCCGCATTAGGTTAGTATCTCAAACACATGTATGCAATAGAGAAACTCGAGATCTCTTCAACCTAAATTTTTCTTTTATTCAAAATGTGAAAGTGGGGAGGGACGAAGTTCCCGATCTGCAGAAATGTTTTGTGTTGTCTGGTGTCTTCTGCCGAGTAATTCACCCAAACGAATAAAGCGAAAGTGCTCTAGGGGAAACAAGATTCCAAGATAACCGATATCGACGAGAATGAAACCAGAGAAGCACATCTCGTTTCTCGAAAGTCGGGAACGCGCCGCCTCGTGCTAAAACCATTTGCATTGTAGATTACATTCTAGCATAAAGGAAGAGGAATTGGAGTAAAGTTCTGGAAACAAGTATTATATTAACAAGTTGGAAGGTCAGTTTTTAACGATGGTCTTCTTGAAATGGGTTTTTAAACACGCATAAGATTCGCGTTATGTGAAAGTAAATTGCGTGAGATATAATGGTAATTTGAAGAAAATAAAAGAATATGATGTACAACATTTCCTTTAGTTCCACGTCTTTTTTCAAAGTGAAACAAATGTCTGTTCTTTAGATCATCTTTGTCAAATGTAATTAAGTATCTAAAAATGCATACAATTACAAAAAATTAATACAAAAATATAATACCGCAAGAGAGTTCAGAATTGTCAGTAGAATTCTTACTGTAATTAAGGTGGATCTATCTTTAAAGCGAAAACCTGGAGACTTTGGTAGCCGAGTATACTGAACATTAATGAAACAAACTTTCAAAAAAACGTGAAGTATAATTGCCACTTAACTTGACCCAAAAGCAGCTTTTTTTCATAAAGGTTTCATGGACAGTTTGTCTATATACCTATTCATTAAATAAGATATCTTCTCAGAGATGAAAAATATTTATTCCAGAGATATGCAGCGCTGAGGCGGTCGGATGAGAGGGTGAGGGCACCCTCTTTGCCTTGGCAAGAAAAATTGTCCCTAAGAGAGATGGACTGCAGATAACTAATAGCATAGGATGCGACAGCAATGGGAAACCACTGCATTAAAGATTTTCTAAGATATCCCTAGTACCAGCAGTTTTATTAGATACCCCAAACGTCTGCAAATCAATCCTTAAATTGAAGTCCGCAAAAGAAGGCGGATTATTTATAGTTCGCCGAACTACTCGCCTGGACAAGAAACTGTAGCATGTAAGACTGGCTTGAGGAAGGCCATGAGGTCGGCAGATCCAACCGCTTGCCAGAGGGGTCCAAATGCCCACTCCCCTTGCGCCCGCCGCCCCCGCGGGGGCCCTAAATCCCGATGATTTCTGGTAACGACGTGGTCCGGGGCGCGGGGCGGGGTGGCGTGGGGTGCGAGAAGGCTCTGCGGAGTGGAGTGGGCGGGGCAGAGAGGGAGAAGGGGGAGAGGGATGGATGCGTAAAGCGGGGAAGAGGGCAGGGGAAGTGAGGCGGAGCCGTACGGAGCGGAGCAATCTGACGGGGCGGGGGGGGG